CAAGAAATAGGTAGGTGAATGGGATTCTTCGAATCCGAGTCAGACATGGATTCACATATCCAAATCCTTGTAACATAGATTGATGACATTCCCATTATGCAGGGTTACCAGTGCCTTATGGCAGCATACATGGAGGATGTCCAACAATCTAGCAGATCTACTGACGAAGGAGGGAGCTAGTTTGCATTCGGACTCCCAGGCTAGGTCCAACTCCTTTTTTGTTCAGGACCTCAGCCGTTCTGACTCCTAGACTAGGTCCAACTCCTTTTTTGTTCAAGACCTCAGCCGTACAGAATGGCACCTCTCTCATTGACCAAGCCACAGCTCAGATTTTTTGTAAATCTCATTGTAAATCTTGTAACATGGGCGCTTCTTATAAGCCTAAACTGATAATGGAAGACTAATGTATTTTTACTGTTAGCCACCCAGGGAGGGTGTGCTTTCAGTCATACCTTTTGTAAACTTCTACAGAAATACAATGTTAACAGTTCTCAAAAAAAAAATCCTTGTAACATAGACTTTCTTTGATTCTTAAAAGAGCGAATAATATTGCATATTGAAGCAAAAAAGTAAATAGCCTAAATCGTTTGCTTTTGATCCTATGCTGTTAAATTTGCTTCGCTTCGGGTCAATCACCCAAAATCGCCGATTTCTGGACTTCACCAAAGCAAACCAATGTGCAACCAATATTTCAAGGTTTTAGGTTGATTTATTTAACGCTTGTAAGAGGAAAGTCTTGTACGACATGCCAAGTGTATCTTAAGAAAACAAAATTTTGAAATTTAGGTTGATAATTTAAAATACATATTGCATAATAAAAGACTAATACAAAAGCCTTTTGAATTGAATGTGACTTGCCACATCCAAATATGGATTTTTTAGAGAAAAATACAGTTTTAGACAGTACTCATGGGATTAAATCACAATCTCTCTCTGTCTAAATGAAAAGTAATCATCATCATTATAGCCTTTTCCCAATTAATTGGGGTCGGCTAGACGAATCTTGGTCCGCCATTCTGCTCTATTAAAAGTCATACGCTCAGTGAGGCCATAAGTCCCCATATTTTTTCGAACTACTTCCAACCACATCTTTTGGGGCCTACCCCTTGCCCTTTTAAGTCCTTCCACTTGAATTAACTCACACCTCCTAACAGGTGTTATACTTGGTCGACGCTACACCTAGGCAGCCCACCTAAGTCTACTTTCATATTATCGCCTATTGGTACCACACCTAAATTCTCTCGGATGGATTCATTTCAAATCATATCCCTTCTTGACTGACCACTGATCCATCTCCACATCCTCATTTCCACTACACTCATTTTATAGGTATATTGTTTTTTGTCCACCAAACATTCAGCCCCATAGAGCAAAGCTGGTCTCACAGCTGTCCGGTAGAACTTGTCATTCAGCTTCATTGGTATGCGACGATCACATAAAATTCCAGTTGCACATCGCCACTTTGCCCACCCAGCTCTAATTCTGTTTGCGATATCTTCCCCAATTTCCATTTTCCTAGATTATCAACCTAAGATATCGAAAGTGTGGTCTTTTTTGTACTTAGTGGCCGTCAATCTCAACTACTTCCTCGTCTTTATTCCTATTATTTTCTATGGCAAGAAAGAGTTTAAAGTTTTAAACTTTAAATTCATAAAGCTTTTATTTAAGGGTTAATTTCCTTTATTTTGTACTCTCTTTTAGTATTATTCTTATATTACTTGAAATTTTATTTTTTAAATATACCAAAGAGTTCCCTCGTATCATCCAAAGCGTTTTCCTCTATTGGCCAAAAGGAAGAGACCTCTGATGTGAATATCATAACATTGCCTCGTACATGGAACTCTTTGTCCATCACAATGTTTTCCACCTGCTCTTGGTTCTTTCCCTGTGCCTTCGCATAAGCCAAGTCCTTTAAGTGGCAGCACTCATACAACTTGACATAACTCCCTATCTTTATCAAAATATTTAAATAAAAGTCAAGCCTTTATAAGTTGGTAAGCCCTAAGCAGACACAAGATGGAGAAAGCAAATAAAAACAGCATAAAATGCAGCACAGGCAGTCAGGTCTCCCACATCATGAGACCAATTTCATAAGGGACCGAAAATAAAATATTTCCATGAACCTTCATTTTAAAACACCACATAGTGTCAAGCCTGTTATGAATTTGAAAATTCACTCGAATTTAAAATGTTAGATGCTCACAAAACTAGGGAAGAGCCAACACCATTTAAACCAAAAATTCCACAAAAGTTGAAAGAAATGAGCTTTGCTCCATTATGGTGGAAATGCCCTCTCAAATGTTCTATACTGATTATACAATGCAATAAAAGTATAGCGTATAAAAAAAAAATATGTACGAGGGCTGCTATGGCTATAGATTCTTGTTTGCTAATCTTATATGCACTAGGGAGAGTAGTTAAGAGCCAAAACCCTTTTTCCTCCATGTTTTATCTTAAAGGATGGAGGTACAAATCATATTTGTTGGAAACGGGATAAAAAACAGTACCGGGATCGAGGCACGATCGACGGTTCGAGGCTACCCAGAAGATCCCTATGTTGAGATCAATGTCCGCAAAACCTCAAAATTATGGAACACAAGCCATGTGTATTAGTAAACGAGTTCCTCAATTAGATAAGATCAAGTATTATATACGTGGGAGAGAGATCCTCTGATCAAGTTCCGAAGTTCCTGAGTGCATGTTTTTTAGTTCCTTAACTGCAGGAGTGGAACTAAAAATGATCCAACATAGTATGGAGTGGGCGATAATTTTATAGGAGCGAGCTCCATTTAGTTGAAAAACGAAGCCCTCATGCAATTTTAAATAGGGATCCCTGGCTCTACAAAATAGTTGCCAACGTCCTAGAATTAATAATATGTAATCTTGAACTTTTATTAAATAAAGGGAGATTATCAAAATCCTCGTGAATCCAAACTATTTAACATTTTACCCATGTTGTTTGATTTTATTTCAAAATACACATGATGAGTTGGAATAGCTACAATTGTATAAAATGCCAAATAATGCATCTCTCATGGGTATTCAAAAAGGCGGATGCGATGCGGCCGCCTAGGCGGTCAAGGGTCTGGGCCGCCTAGGCAGGCGCCCAGACATAAAGGCTGATGCGTTGGGGGGTGGGGCAGATCCTTGCAAGGGGTTGGGGTGGGGGCCATATGTTGTTTTGTGTGTGTTTTTAGTGAATGCGTTTGTATGTGTTTAGTGTGTGTGTGTGCATCTGTGCATGCGCGCATATGTGTGTGAGTGAGGCCTTGCATGAAATTCTTGAAAATCATCCTCTTTCGTTTTTTTCTTTTGGATCCGTATTATGAGAGAGAGGTCTCGAACAATTGGAGGATGTTCTTCTTTTTCTTCTTCTAATATGTCAATCAAGAGAGATAGAGAGAGAGAGAGACTGTGAGAGAGAGGGACCTCGCATCGAACACTTGGAGGTCGTCTTCTCATTTTTCTTCTTCTTAAATGTAAAGATGGAGCATATGGGTCCATCTATATCTTTGTGTGTGTGGGAGAGAGATAGAGAGAAGCCGTGTATTGAACATTTGGAGTCTATTTTCTTTTTTTCTCATATGTAGAGAGAGCACATAGACCGACGAGAGAGAGAGAGGGGGGGGGCAATACACATGGCTAATTTTTATTTGGGTGGATTTGAATTTTTTTTTAAGGGCTGGCATTAGGTGGGCGCCCAAACTCACCTAGGTGCCCGCCTTGAACCCGCCTAGGCACCCACCTTAGGCATACCCGCCCAGGACGACCGCCTAGGCGGTTTGAGAAAATGGCCACCTAGGCCGCCATGCGGCCGAATTTTCATTCATTATATACATGAAATAATTTGCATTCTATTATTACTTATTAAATAATGGATTGCCCATTAGCGAGCGAGGACGGAGCATTCGTTATGCCGGATCATGGGGGGATTATTTATGTAGTGTGTGAACTCTAAATTATCATATTACATTTACTTCTTAAGACATAGTTGCCCTTAAGGAAGCAGTAATGCATAAAAGTTATTGTAATGATTAACAAGGCAAGCTAAGAACTTAGGATACTTACCATTTATACACCTAGACATGCAATGGAACTAGATCCCGTAGAAGCAAGGAACGCAAACACATAATTAAAGGAACTCATTCCCTTGAAAAGGGATCGAGATCCAAATTCCCAAAAAAGGTGATCCTTGGGAGATCCGTTACTGGTGCCTTAGAATCGAGACCCCAAAAGGGATTGCCGACCAAAGTAGACGATCTCAGAAGCTATGGTACAAAGTCCTAGATTCTATAGTTAAAACAGTCCTAACTTTCAAGGTTCATGGCACAACTCAAGGGCACCAAAGCCAACAAGTCCAAGCTACTCCAGATCCTTCTTAGACTGATCAAGAACTACCAGTAACCATGTTTCTAAATTTCCTTAACCTTCCTGCCATAACTAAGCCAACACCATCAGCAAGTCTGTTTTTATCAATAAACACACAACACACAAAAAAAATATTTAAAAAAAAATTGTTCTTTTTTTTTTTATCAATAACCAGGATATAGGAAAACAAAAGAAGTCCAAGTCAACGTGACTCAAAAACCCTGCAAGGCATATTGAATTTGTAAGGAAAGCACAAAACATGTTTAACAAGGATAGTATAAAAACTTTATGCCGAAAGTGAGAGAGAAAAGAAAAACAAGAAGAAAAAGAACACAAATTTTGATTCATACAATCCAGCTCAAATAATCATGGAACAGTTCATATGTAACCAGCAAAACAATTGTCTCATCATCCATTTGAGGAAGTACAATCACCAAACAGAGAGAACAAGAATTCATGCAACATTAGCAGATAAGAAACAGTTAACAGTCTGGAAAGGCAGAATACGTATTGAATATACATAAGCATTTTCACATCTTCCAACAATCAAAATAATTTCAACCAGGTACACCAATTTACAACATCGTGATCAACAGGTATGCTGAAATACAACATTGAGAAAGGAAACACACCTCTAAGCAATCAATTACTGCAAGTTGGTGTTCTTCTGCAATGTCTGGATTTATTTTGATGAGTCTGCTGAGTGCGTCGATACCCATATATTTCAGATTATGAATTTCACTCTGCTCATATGGTAAATGTACCAAATATCAGATAAGTGTCCTTGGAGGAAATGGAAAAAGACATAAATTAATATCTAGGAAAATGGTTCAAACAAGCTCTGATGAATGTCTAGTATTTGAAACATAACCCTTGACTAAATCCAAAATGACATCATACCAATTTTTTTTTCTTTAGCAGCACAAACCTTCAAAAATCTTGAAGTTACATCAGCTGCAGCTTCTAACAATTTGGCATTGGGGTATATAGATGAAACAGTACATATGCATTCATATAAAATGGCGTTCCCTATGTTGCTTGTGGACTCGCACTTCCTAAACATATCACCCAGGACAGTATGCATGTTGTCACTTGCTTGTTTGTTGCCCGCACCAAGCAATGCCAAAATTTTTAGCAATCTGATCTGAAATAGTGACATAAGAATCAAATAAGTAGACAAAGAAAGGATGCAAAAAAGGAAAACACCAGAGTCCTAACCCTGCAAGGCATTAACACTAGAAGATATAAGATAAACAGGATCATTAAGTTGCAACTAAGATGTGATTTCAGTTCCAATGGAGCCATCTGCGAAAAGAAGTTGTAGCTGAACTTCTCAATATAAATCCCAAGAATAGCAATATTTTGCAAGTATTCTCAAAGTTCAAGAGGAATAGAACTTCAATCTTCATATATACAGAGAAACCATAACAGAGATGATTGCCGAAGTGATATACTACTCATGTGACATAATAGCAAATTATATTAGTGTCACGATTCTAATTATTCCTGAAACTAATCTGAGTGGTATTTCAAGCTGTAAAATAGTTTGCCTTTAACTAGCTCAGATTGCGGTCTATAAATATACTATTCCTGAACAAGAGTGAAATGCCAGAACATTCTAAGGAAAACCAATGTTATCAAGACTCAAGGACAGAGTTGGATACTCAAGTCATCTTCTGGGCCCAAACCAAACCACACAATTCCCAGCCTGATCAGCTGGGGACTTTGCTACAGACAGGACTGACATATGACACTCTAAACCAATGACTACCTGTAAGAGCAGTTGCCAGGTCCCCAAGCCCTAAGGAAACATTAACTATTGAACTTAGGACTCGAGGAGATTTCCGTGATGATTCCGCCAATATAAAAGGTCCTTCTCGAGGCCCATTGGGGTAGAGGACTGAACCATGGCACTGCTAGAAGGATGTACATCTTTTGACCCAAGTTGGGGGTCCCCTCTTAGTCGAAGGATCCAATGGCTCCCCCTATCACTACAGACTTGAGGTGATTATAAAACAGACTTTCATGATTTATCAGGCCGCTAACAGCGGCTTTCCAGAACACGTGGAGACCGGCGAAGGCGTTGGCTGATTCCCTAGCCAAAGAGTGCAATGTCAGAATATTATAAGGAAAACCATCGATGTTATCAAGACTCGAGGACAGTGTTGGATCCTCAGTCATCTTCTGGGCCTGAACCAACCCACAATACCAACCTGATCAGCTGTGGACTTTGCTACAAATTGCAATGACATATGTCGCTCTAAACCAATGACTACCTCAAAAAGCAGTTGCAGGGTCCCCGAGCCCTAAGGAAGCATTAATGATGATTGAACTTAGGAATTGGGGGAGATTCACATCATGATTCTGCCAATATAATAAGTTACTTCTCAAGACCCATAGGGTTGGAGAACTGAACCATGGCAGGATCCTATATCTTTTGATCCAAGTTGGTGAAAGGTGGACAATGTGATCTAGCCAAGTATATACAATTAAAAATTTTCACTTTTTTTTTATTCGTACCAACTAAAACACTTACAAGCTTCCACAAATACAATTTAATTTACAAAAATAAACACTAATACAATATAGGATCTTCGCTTGCATGCCATTTCAATTCTTACATTCAAACAAAATACAATATATATGATAGAATCAAGAAACATGGAACCATTAGAATACCAAATTACCTTTGCCAGGGTTACCCGCAAGGACTTGATACACTCCACTCAGGGTCACCTCCACTAATGGCATATGGAATCGAGGTGTTCAACCTTGTCTCACAATGTCGGAAGCCTGGGCAACCCTAACTCTATGACAGGATATACCAAAATATGGGATAGGGCACCTCTCAACAAATCCAGGGTTAATAGCAATAGCAAGCCGGTCGATGGATCTAGGTGATCCGGGAGGGCGGAGTCGGAAGGGGCCTGGGGAAGAATTTGCCCCGGGCTTTTTACTACGAGTTTGGGCATGCCAGCTTAAGCAGACTTGCATGGGGCGTGGCACGCCTTCTTAGCCTAATTTAGAGAGAGGTTTGATGAGAGAGAAAGAGGAAGAGAGAGACAGTGGCCTGCCACGTAGAGAGAAGGGGAGAGAGAGAGAGATCAAGGGAGAGAGATGTAGAGACTTCATCCCCATAGGTGGTATTTATAATGCAATACTAGGGATTTGGAGGTTAGGGTTTTCCATCCTTATAGAAACTTAATCTTGACTATCGATCTTAGGAAACTTGTGGGGCGAAGAGATCTTAGTCACCCATTCCCTAGATCAGCCATCATGATTAAATGGAAAGTATTAGAACCATTATCCCCTAATTTCTTTAATCCATTCCCATCAAATAGTTGATATATAGAAAATAAAGTAATGTGTCATATGATTTTCGATCAATCGAACAACTTATTAAAAATCTCTTTAATCAAACCAATCTCACTCTCAATCAAAATATTTGATTTCAATCAACTTACTTGGTCAACAAGTCAAGACCAAGAAAGAGTGAAAATAAGAGGAGGTGGGGCATGCCACTATATGTGGCCCTTGTGGGTCCTACACTCCCATCAAGGTGGGGGCCCCTTCCCAAATGGGCCCCCACACTCTCCCATGAATTTTAAAATTTATAAATGAACTTTTGAAGTCCAAGAAGTATTTTTAAAATTGTTATGTATTCATAAAATCCTGAAAATCAATTTTTAGCCCACCAAAAAATCTTTTTGATAAAATAAAATGGGAATGACCTTGTGAGACCCTCCCACACCCATGTGTAGGACCCCAAAGGATCACCATTAAATTTGGCACAGATATCTAGAAAAGTCAAGTCCCACACCCATATGATAACTTTTCTAGAGATCTGTG